GGGGGAGGCGGCGGCGGAGGGAGGGGGAAGGGGGGAGAGAGAGATTTTACGAAACGAGAGAGAGAGAGGAACGGACTTGAAACGAGAGAGAGATAGGATCGGGTCGGGATTTGATAAATGACAGGGGGTGGGGTGGAATTTGAAATCACTTGTTTTGGGTTTCCAAATTCCTTTTTGTTAAATCAATTGATTTAAAATCTTAGCTCAAATCAGAACCCAAACTAAAGATTTGGATTTAAAATACCCTGGATTTTAAATCCAAACCCAAATCCAAGTTCCCAAACGCAGCCTTAAGTGATTTCGAATTATGGTTCGATAACCACTCGAGAATAAAATTTAAAGCTAATCCATTATAGATCAGCATTTCATATCACGCATTTAGACCGATGGATCAGATATTAGAACTTAGAAGCTTGATATAGATGATTTCTTGGCAGTTAAATCTCTTTACCGCTTCCTTAACAACAATATCCCTTCTATATGTTAACTACGGCCCCACATCTGCTTTGCTCAATGTGAAGACTCTCATGTCTAGAGGGACAAATGGGTTCGATACGATACTTAGTATGTCCATAGCTAATTATCAACCACCGACAAAGACACGAATATAAATTTGTCTTGACAAAGAAAACCCATATCTATAATTGTTATCGCGGTTTTAGAGATGGAAAATAATCTCTAATCAATGACAGACAAGTATCTCACATTATGCATAATCAAGTCAGCACCTCAAGACAATTAGAGGCCCAACTCGGTTGATTCGACACGCCGACATGCAGCGAGAACGACTCGAAAAGTGTCACATGTCGACGACCTGAAAGGCGTTACGTGTCGTCCCCTAGCTGAGTCGACTACTTAACCACTCCACTCGGCCGACACCTTGCGAGAGCGACTCGAAAGGCGGTACTTCTCGACCATCCAACGAATAGAAAGGCGACGAAACATTTCGAGCCTCGAGCCCCCTCCTGTGCACTGATGACCAACCACCTCGTAATAAATATCATTAAATGCATTATGAGTGCCATCATTCCTCTGCCTCCAATAGTATAAGGGGTGTTTGATTCAATTTCTAGAAATTATAGGAAATGTTTTCCACCTAAAATATGATTTCCTTGTATTTCTTAAAAAAATTATAGGAAAAGTTTTGAGAAATCAAAAAGTACCAATTTTCTTGTTTTTTATACTTTGCTTGTTTGGTTCAAAATAAGAAAATAGCTCATAACTTTATAGAAAATAACAAGATTTGGTAGGTTTTTAATTAAATATGGTATGTGTCAGATTTCTGGTGATGTCCTCTCATTTTGAGAGGAAATTGCTTTTTTGTAAAATTTGGTAGGTTTTAATATTTTATAGAAAATATTTCTGTAAATTTTTTATTGAACCAAACACAATTTACAGAAATCTCTGGAAAACTTTTAATTACAAATTTACCATTGTCAGATGTTTTGAGAAAAGTTTTCTCAAAAAGTGTGCAACCAAACAGCCCCTAAATATCACCACGTCGGCACCGCACACTAGCATTAAACATCGAAGTGACCGCTTCTCCACTCGTCTGCCAACACCTGTAAAGTTGAAGCTGACTTGGCCACCAATCCATACCCGGACGAAGAAGTTACCATCCTAACCTCCTTCCACTACTATAAAAAGAAATACTATTTTTAATTACAGGGTAAACTTTTCTCATTTCTCTCTGAACTTAAGAACTACTGCAATTCCTTTTACTTCTCCACACAAGCAACCCACTAACTTGATACAACCGGGGAATCACGTCCCGCCCTCTTACGAGTTGGTACTTGTGCAGAGAAGAAAAGCTTGCTCAAGAAACTAACATTCGGAGAGTTAGAGGACCTCCATCAATTTAATCAACTCCATTTATTTTACTGTGTGATTCTATACGTCAACAATAATCCACCAAAATTGAATGTAATATGGATAAAATAAGAGAAAATATAAACTGACACAAAAATAGATAGGAGGAGAACATATAAAATTAGTGAAATATATAGATCATATGATACAAGAGAGTTTCCTAATATGTTATGCATATCGGAATAAACTTAGATTAGAACTTTGGATCATCAAAATTAATTTTAAATCCATCAATCTAATGATCAAAACAATTGCGGCAACATGATCGACATTTATCTAGATATTTCACTATACACCTACATTTGTACTATTGAATATGTTTAGTATTTATATTTGTATCATAACAGATATGGATATGAATATTTCTTTATACCCCCACTCACGTGGCTAGTATTGTATGGTGGATTGCGCACTACCAATAATGTTGCCAAGAGGAATTGGTCATATAATCCTAAGTGTCTATCTTAAAATTATTATGGATATTGTAGAAGCACAAACTGAAATCACTGTCACAAAGAAAGAACGCCAAACAATCATAGAAAGAAATTGACCGTCTGAAACACAAGGATTATAATGACTTGCGTCTAGGAATTAATGCGACACTCATACGAGACAGCTTCATAAGGAGAAACTGACCAGCCTCGTACATTTTTGTATTTTTGTGTGGCTTGGCTTGAATTGATTGACCGTCCCTGGCCTACCTTGCTGCAAAATCATTGAAACAGCGTCGAAATTATTCCTTAGTGCACTAAGCTTACATCTTAGATCAACTATATTTGTAAACTTATTAGGACAACGTTCGTGTGTGATCAACAGAAACCTTAATTAAGAGGGTTATGGGACGTTAGAAGGGCCTCTGTAGCATGGATAACTTTAACGACCCCTGTGTTTTTATAAAATATATGAAAGTATAATTGAACAAGCCCAACCGAGTACAAGTATTACCGCATTCAAAAGAAGGTGAAACTAGACGAAGAGGACACAAGGAGAGAGGGTACATAGGCAACCTCGTGATTGTTGAGGTCGTTTGCGGTCATTTGGATGAATTACGGGCAGCTTGATCCCTTAGGAGAGGGAGTACATAGGCAACCTCATTGGTGCAGCCGGATTTGACGAGACGACGCATTGGTGCTCATGTTGGTGTTGGCTCAGTTTTGGGAACACTTCGCCAAGGTGGAGAATTGTTGAAAACGGCGAAGGAACGACAAAGGAATCGTTAAGAAATGTGGGAAAACGTGCAAAATCAGCACTACAAGATCGCATAGGACCGATCGATCGATCTCGTGCACATTACAGGGTTTGAAAACCATGCTCTGGTCGGTCGACCGATGCACTCTTATCGGTTGACCGATGGAGGTATATCAATCAACCGATAGAGGAGCATTGGTCGACCGAAAGTGGATACAGGCTGAAGTTGGTTTCCTTGCATATGTTTTGGATTGGTTTTTGATATAAATAGAAACACACGTTTCTAGGGTTTTGAGAGAGGCGAAAACCAGAGAATTAGCATTGTTTTGAGCAGTTTTGTGAGGGAGATTATTGTGAAGGAGTGTGAGATCATTGGTTGGGTTATTTTGAGAGTTATTTGAAAGATTGTAACCCGTTGTTTCTCCTCCATATATTGATATCTCCCCATCCTCTCCCGTGGACGTAGGCAATTTGGCGAACCACGTAAATCTCCGTGTTTGTGTGATTTTGGTTGTTAATTTTGTGAATTGCACTCGTGTTTGGTTCTTCTCTCATCGCTCACCGACTCAGTTGGTTCGCGAGCATGCTTCCGCATGGCGCACAACAAAAATATGGTGTCCGCATTTGATCCAAATAAACCAAGCGCCTGAGCCTCCTTGCTCCAGTTAACCCAGTTCCTGTAGGTTCACACACTGACTGGGATACGTACTATTGAGTTGCGAACAAACCCCATGGCGGTGCATAAAGGCTTCAAAATATGGATATATAATGCTGACTGTTTTCACTTGTCCAAATTGCTTGGATATTGTTGAGATGCATTTGATGTGCCAATATCTATTTATAATAAGTGATTATACAATGCGACAGACATGATGGGCTCACGCCCCTCTGTCAGCCTCCACCAGTGATCGGTCATGTGGCAATCTTTCGTTATTCACGAGACGCATTCCTCTTCGTTTGGATCTGAAATTTGGTGGTCATGAACACTGAATTCTTGTTCTCAATTTTAGTTGTGCCACTGGTTACAAACTTACATCCAGTGACTACTTACAGAAAGAGAAAAGAGAAAAACTGTCAGAATTATTTCTTATACATATCCAGCAAGAGGACTTTTGTTTTCTTGCCTGAGCATTTTATTCATACCAAAGATTAACAATTTCCCGAAGCAATCACAAATTTCTTGAATGAATGACGACTAGGATCATCATCTTCAAACCCCATCGCCATCAGCAAACGACCTCCGACTTTCGGAGAACAAATAAGACACAAGAAGTAATAATGTCGCGATATAGCCTGATCAGTTAGCATGGTGGAAGATCATTGGGAGGAGGCAGTATGGATTGATCAGGCCCATTTCCATTCTCCACCACAAAAGCCATCTTCAGCCCCCACATAGTGTGCAGCTCCAGATGACAGTGCATGAACCAAACCCCTGAAATCAAAGATTCATGCTAACAAGTTTAAAGAAAATCCAAATAATTTGATACCAATTTGATAAACACTTCACCTGGATTATCAGCTCTGAACCTTATTGCCGTCCAACCACCTGTAGGAACTCCTACAGTGTTCCTTTCTGGCGGATCAACCAAGTTGAACTTAGCCAGGTCTTTTGCAGGATCGAAATTACCGACTCCCCTCCCCACGACGAAGAAGTTGAACCCGTGGAGATGGAAAGGGTGAGATTCGACGGTGAGAAGATTTGTATCTTGAAGCACGAGCTCGACAGTCGAGTTGAAAGCCAGTTTGCTAAGTCTAGTACCGAGCGAAGTTCCCAAGTTGGCTGTCAGGGGAGCTCCAGTGTAGTTGAATGGTGCGGGTGGCTTGTCGGGGAAGTCCAATTTGAAAACTCCGTTGATGTTGAAGTAATGTGCTTGAAGCAGTCCAATCTTGGGCATCACAAAGGTGACGTTGTTAATGGATGCAGTTAGCTTGGTGCTGTTGAGGCAAGTGGGGCACGGGTCTCTTCCAAGGCCGACAGTGAAGAAGAGATGACGATCGATTGTGAGAGGGACATTAGCAGGGAACTGCGGTGTGTTGAGACTCCGAAGACTGTTAGAATAAGTGTCGACGAATGAAGTGTCATTTTGTGCTGGAAGTTGAGGCAGGACCGGGATGACAGTATCCGGAACGCCTTTGTATTGGAGAATAGCAGTCGCAGTTTTGTTGTCGACAGGGATGGGAGCGTCGTTGAAATCCCTGGCGGCCATGAAGTATCTGCCAGGAGCTTGGTTGGCAGTCACAAGAACGTTTGTGGTCTGACCTGGGGTAATCAGGATAGCACTGGTTGTGAAAGGCTTGCAGTAGACGGCGTCGATCTCCACCACGGTCATGTTATGGCCCGCGATGGCGAAGAAGAGCTCGTCGTTCAGGGCTGCGTTGACGATTCTCAAGAGGTACGTCTTTCCCCATTCGACTTCAGTAACGAAGGTATCTGAAAACAACAGAACAACAAGTAGATATATAGCTTTTAGCTTCACCTTTATGTTTACAATATAGAGAGTGTTTGGGCGAGTTTATTTTTAGAAGCTTTTAGGCTATTTTAGCTTTCGATCGCTTTTGGCTTTTGTGATAAAATATTCTATAAAAAATTGTAGGATAGGATGGTCATGTTGCTTTGGCAATGCCCCTTTCTGGGTTTTTTAAAAGTTGGGATCCCTAACTTTATTAAATGAAATGAACTTACAAGTAGATTATTATGGGATGTAAACAATATATGCAAATATGAAAAGGCTAGCTTGTAAGTTTGTACGGTTTATCCGACAGGGGAGAGAGGGAAGGCTTTCCATTGATGGTGTGGGCATAGACAATATTGGGTGGCAACCAAGTTGCTATTGCCTTGAATTCCAGCTCTTCATCAGAATTCAGCCATTTCTAACGATATCAAATGCAAATATAAGCAAACCATGGAATTTTATCAAGAACAGTAAACACTCTTATCGAATGTTTTTTTTTTTTTTGTGGCAGTAAAAACTCTTTATTCTGCTGTTTCTCAACTACGGACCAGCACTGATTCATGGGGTTGAGGAGGGAAGGAACTCTTTGCTTTGGCATGATGACGATCGGCCCATGGAACGTCGCTCGCGCACACAGTATGATGAGCATGCAACACCACACGTCCGTCCTGGAGCCTGTACATTTGAGTCTAAGCTGTACGAGTTGCACTCTGGTGTCGGACACGTGCGTAATGTAGGGCTGGACATCATCATCATTCCGAATTGTTTCAGTCCGTGCCTGCATTAAATCATGTTAATTAGAAGACATCGTCGATTATTTGGGCTTGTTTAACGAGAGTGAAGATTGATAACAGTATTTGCACGGAATTGTTATATACAATGTGGAGAGTTTTATAATTGAGATCGTTGTCATTGGAGACAACACGATCTCCTCTCGGCATAGATTGTAGGCCGAGGGAACTCGCGTATGACGGTACGAATGTTTAGGGTGGACAGTCTGGCTCACGTTCTTCACACAACTGAGCATTAAGAGAGAAAACATATACGGGCAGCATGAGAAGATGTTGGAAAGGTTCAGAAACAATGATTTACGTCAATGGTCTTTAATGGCGGATTCAGATGGGGAATCGAAAGAATGCGCGAAGGCAAAAAAGCGGAAGCGAAGAAGTAAGAGCCATTTTTTTTTTTTAAAGTCTTGGAGCCTAGAAGAGAATGGTTTGAGATGAAGGGGCTGTTCATTGATTCGTCTTTATACGGATGGTTTGTAGAGCTGTGTTTATGGTAGGAAATGCGCACTCTCAATATATGCTCATGCTTCGAAGCAATATGCTGATGGAGACCATCCAACAGAGCTCAAGGAACGAAGCAGACCCTAGACAAGGGCAAACCCTTTATCTTGAAGACAAAGGAGTATGTATTTTGTGTGGGTTTTACTCACAGTGCTCTTCATTTGTTTTTCTGATTTTGGGTACAAGAAAGGGAGATACACGGTAGAGTAGTGGAGTTACTTTCTAAGAGTAGATGGGGAGGAGTAAGTAACTGTAGTTGATGGCTCACCCTACTCACT